TAGTTCCCTGTAATCAAATATATTGAAAAATCAAAATGTAGACACAAGTTAAAAACTTTGACTTCTTTCTTTGTGCTTAACGACGATGGCGAAATTCCTCAAGCCAATTTTCAGAAGTTTTGAATGACCAAAGCTTTTCAGTTATCTTCGCATTCACTATCGAGGCGATAGTCTAAAATTAATAAGTCGCAGCACATTGTATCGAAATCCCTGCAGAATAGTTCCTAGAGCCGCTCACGTTCGGTATCTAGATAGATGTCGCACAAGACCCAGTTTTACGGCTTCATAAAGCGTGTAAAAGCGGCAGCAAATGGAGACAGGAGTTGCCTCGTGCGCGATATGGGTCAAGCTGTAAAAGTTACGATGAATAAATGTTTATCGACGTAGTCATTACCCAATACACGGTATCTGTTCGATGCGATGTTTCACGCTGAAGTGATGATGATGGCCCCTTGATGGATCTTGATTGGAGACCCAAAGTATGCTCTCACGGCTACGGTGAGTTTGCTCACAATGTCTCGCTACTGTGATTGTCGTCACATGGATAGCAAGTTTCCAACATACTTATGTAGATAACTTGCAGGTATAAAGTTGCCACGAGAACTTGAGGGCAACCAACACGATAAAATTTGGAACAAGGCAATATGAATATTGTACGAAAATACTTTGTTTTCACTTTTATACCTGTCCAAATTTGTAGTTGCCGTTATACTTCTTGAAAGCAAATCTGAGATATTAGAACGTGTTACTGACACAGTGACATAAATCTTCATGTCTTCCTGCCAAATGAACGGGTACAAAATTGTTCTCTAAAACACTTACGTCAGTGGCGTTTTTGCCGCTGTTGGATTTCAGAAAAAAAAGTAGTAGCTCTAAGTTTAATTCTGCTAAAAACTGTCTCTTGCGGCTTTCCGAATTATAATTTCATTAAGTAATGCCAGATTTGGCGCTTATTTGATGGGTATAATTAAAAACACCAAGAGGCACTTCTCGAGCAAGATCGATATGGCTTTGAGAGAATGATACTCATTTTTGCAGCAGCCAGTGTCGTACATTTTTTAATCGTATAATTATAAGCATGATTTAAAAATGTAGAATGTAAAATGAGATCACGTGAACATCATGTTGTATCCAATCAGCAGATACATGATATAATATGAATTGCATTGCAATGATACCACTATTATAGAGACTACATGTTTGAATTTAACCGGTACCAACTACCTTTTAATATGCTGACCAGAAGCTTATCTGAAAACTGAACGTCAAAACAAAAACCGTGAGCCTGCAGAATAGTAATACTAAACGTGGCAACGTCGAAAATTGAACCCAGTGATTTTCCGTTTTTTGTTTTTAAACAGTTTTAATATGTAATATAATTTCTACAGTTCACTGGATGTAGATTGAAACAGGAATGTACGCAGATACTAAAAAACGGACACGATACATTTGCAGTGAGGCCAAGTGTACCAAAAATTCTCGGAGCTACTGAAAAAATGAATACACGACAACAAACGAAATCGAAAAAAAATATACCAGAAAAAGTCAACAAATCCAACAATAGCAGCTATATCCACATACAAGTTGACAATTCTGTGGATGATAAAACTTACACCCAGGAAGAGTTGCTGTTAGATCTTAGGAATAAACTAGCCTCAGAATTAGCAAAGAATGAAGATCTGCATGATCTCACTGCAAAGTTGAAAGTTACAATCGAAAAGTTAAATAACGAAGTCCTGAACAAGGATGAAACGATAGAACATCTCAAAGGAATAATTGAGAAAGTTAAAGGAAACACAGTGGTTTCTAACAAAAATACACAAACAGATGCAGCTCTAACAAAGCAAACGGCCACAAAAACACACGCCAGCAAAGAGTCGAGGCATGTCCAAATTTCTAAATCATTTTCGAATAATATAAAAAAAAATGAACCACGCAAGTCTAAGTTACTAATTCTTGCAGACGAGCATGAGCGAAACCTTGTCCATATTTTTCGAAACGTCCTGCCACTCAGCCAAATAACAGTGGAGGCAATGCTGAGCCCAAATGCCCAGATGCATGACATAATGAAGTACGCACTAAATCTATCGTCTGATTTCACCAAGTTGGACTATATACTCATACTGGCAGGATCCAATGATGCCCATATCAGAGGTTGCATATACAGTGAGTCGCTAGGGAGAATTCTTAGAAATATGGGACACACTAACACCATAGTAGCAACAGTTCCAGAGTGGAAATGCAGGCGTCCCGTACTAAATAGTATAATTCAAGGTATTAATGATCAAATACGTTATACTGCAAGGGAAAATACCGCAAACCTCTTAGATATAGACAGTTGCCTTCAACATTATCACTTCAAGAAAAACTCAAACATGTTTAATAATGCTGGTAAACACATGATATGCAACATAATAAAGGATATCATTACCTCAAAAAATGTGAACGCCGATAAAATAAGCAAAAATCCCGCCATTGTGAACGCGATATTGCCTCTTAGAAAAAAGTCTGCCGATGAGTGTGGTCAAGCCAATCAGGTCATACAGGAATTTCCAATGTTGCGGGGAACATCTTTAACAAGCTCTATACATCCCGGCAACAAGGAACAACATCTCCTGCCACTATTGAAACAATCGTCGACTTCAAGTAAAGCGAAAGGAACTAAGGACGTACAGAAATCATTTTTTCGTCGAACAGCCTCACAAAAATTAACACATTCAAAATAGTACATCTTAATGTATGTAGCATACAGGACAAATATGACGCTCTGGATGTTTTTGTTGATGAGACAACACCTGTACTATGCCTCACGGAATCATGGCTGTCGTCTGATGCAGCAAGTCTAGCTAATATTAAGGGGTATACAAACGCAGCAACTTTCTGCAGAAGCCAATATATTCATGGTGGTTGTGCTGTATTCGTGAAACAAGGCGTGACTACCAAGGAACTTCCATATGTCAAGAAGTTTTCCGTAGAACGACACATCGAATGCTGTGGTACCATAGCTACTCTGCAAAGCACAAAAACGAACCTAATAGTAATATGTGTATACCGTCAGCCATATGGTAACATAAGAACCTTTCTCGAGAGTCTTTCGGAAATTCTCGATCACGTATCAGCCACACGCGACAAGATTATTCTTTGCGGCGATCTAAACATTGACTATTCTCGCCCAACTATAAACACCATGATGCTTCGAGATATTTTAGATTCGTTCAACCTTGTAAATCACTGCAACGAACCTACACGCTACGCTATCAGCAGGAATAACACAATATCCAATACGTCAATAGACTACATGACGACAAATCTCAGCTCACAATTCATCACTTGTACAGTATTTGATCCACATATATCCGACCACACTGCCCAAATGCTCTCGATCTCCATTACATCAACCAGCGAATCCACTAAAAACATTAGCAAGTCACGTCGGATAAGAACAATAAGAAGTGAAAACCTTGAGAACCTTAAAGCCAACCTGTCTCAAGAACACTCGATAGTTGAAGATGAAGATATAGACACGGCGTTTGAAAACTTCATCAATACTTTCTTATGGCATTTTAATACCGCGTGTCCAGAAAGAGTAGCGATTTTTAAGCAGAACTCACACACTAAAGCCTGGATAACGGAGGAAATAAGATCCTCCAGTAAAAATTTGAGGGAAATACACACCCTCCTGCAAAATAACAAAGATAACTTCGAACTAAGACAACAATACCTACAAAGAAAAAGTAAACACAGAAAACTACTAACAACTACTAAAAAACGATATCATGAACATCTAATTGAAAATGCAGAAAATAAATCGAAGAAGGTATGGGAAATTGTAAACAAAGAACTAGGACGAAGCAGCTGTACCAATCAAATAATCTTAAATATAGAATCCGTTGGAGATCTGCGAAGCGAAGGTACATCCGACGCATTTGGTAGGTATTTTTCTACAGTAGCAGAGAAGAAGCTCCATGTACACTTTGGAGGACAGCCCACAACAACAAGTCTGTCAACAACCTCACTACCTCAGTCAATGTTCTACAGCGAAACTACCGAAGATGAAGTGACCAATGTGATAAACAACCTTCGAAATAATAAGTCGTGTGGAAGTGATGGTGTCTCAACAGGAATAGTTAAAAGTGTGTGTCATCAAATTGCAGGTCCACTAGCTGTACTCATAAACATGTCGGTGCATCAAGGTAAATTTCCTAAAAATCTTAAATTGGCCATTGTGGTACCTATATTGAAAAAGAGAGATCCCTCTCAAGTCGAAAACTATCGTCCAATATCTCTTCTGTCAGTTTCTTCAAAGATATTTGAGAAAGTACTGCACGCGCGCATAGCTAGCTATACTGAAAAATACAACATCATCTCCAATAACCAACATGGGTTCAAGAAATCACGCTCGATTGAGACAGCCCCTTTTGAGTTTATTAACCACATATACCGAGCAATAGACTTGGGTCATCTAGTTGCTGGAGTATTTTTCGACTTGTCAAAAACGTTTGATATCATTAATGTAGATTTTCTAAGGGAGAAACTTTTCAATATAGATATAAGAGACTTCTTGCTGGACTGGCTAGTGTCTTTCCTGACAGACAGAGAACTTAGAGTGAGAGTGAACGATGCGCAGTCAGCTACCTATAAAATAAATATTGGTGCAGCTCAGGGATCTGTATTGTCACCACTTCTTTTCATCTTATTTATAAACGATCTGAAGCTCTCAGGTGCAGTAGTGAACTATGCTGATGACACATCGGCTGTAGTAACTGCAGATTCGCCTGAAGATCTGTACCTTAACATTGGAATCATAAAATCTGAGATGGGAGAGTGGTGCCAAACAAATCGTCTGATCTTGAATGCTGACAAGATGGTAGTTGTTCACTTTTACTCTAGTACTCCACGTCTCATTAACAGAACTATCTCAGACTCTACGACCTTCCTGGGTATTGAGTTGGATGCAGGATTAAATTTGAAGCAACAAGTTGACAGTGTATGCAGGAAAATCAATAGGTCCTACTATGCGATATTGAAATTAAAGCCAAATGTCCCCAAATCAACGCTGATAGATGTGTACTACGCAATTGTGTATTCGCATCTGTCAAATCAGGCAGATTCAAAACTGCATTTTTGAATGCGTCAACTGCTTCTTCTGGTGACTGGAACCTTTGACCACGCAGTCTGTTTTTAATTTTCGGGAAAGTAAAGAAATCGTTAGGACTTCGATCGGGACTATATGGAGGATGGTCCAATAATTGCACGTTTTCTCCTGTTAAATACTGCCTTGTTTTTTGGGCTGTGTGCGAGCCTGCATTGTCTTGGTGGAGGATGATTCTTCTTTCGGGGTTGATTTTTCGAAGCTCGGTGATGACTTTTGGCAAACAAATGGAGGTATACCAATCCGCAATAACAGTTCTTTGCTCATTAACAGGAATTGTTGCAATATGACCCGCTTTTGTCGCGACCATCTTTTTCGAACCACTTCGAGAGCGGATGACTTTTGTTGGCTTTTCTTCACCTTGGTACACCCAAACAGCCGACTGTCGTTTATTTTCTGGTTCATAACAGTAAATCCACGATTCATCACCACTAACAATGCTGTAAACAGTTTTTGTGTTTCCAGAATTGAAACGGTCAATCGTCTTTTGACACCAATTAACCCTGGCTGCTTTCTGCTCTTCAGTCAACAGGTGGGGTATCCAACGAGAAACTAATTTTCTTACTCCTAATTCTTCATGTAAAATTTTTTGAATTGAGGTCTTTGAGATCTTCAAGGACGCCTCAATCTCGCGATATGTCACACGTCTATCTTCAATGATGAGTTTGCGCACAGCATCGACGTTTTCCTGGGTGACTGCCGTTTTTGGTGCACCCACCCTGGGATCGTCGCTAAGACTCACCTGTCCACGTTTGAATTCTCCATACCAACGGGAAATTGTCGACTGATGTGGCACTTCGTTGCCGAAAACAGATAGTAACTCAGCAAGGCATTCTTGTTGCGATAATTGTCTCTGAAAGTAGTATCTAATAAATTATGGCGCGAAAATGTTCTCGTTGAGTTCCATTTTTCGAATGACTTGGTGACACTTAAAAATTCACTGTAGTGAGAACACTGCACGTATTGCTGTGAAACTTTGAATTTAAGTTTACTAAAGAGTGAGGTTAAAATTCAGTACTGACGTTCGACCCGCGTTTCTACATGCAAAACTTAAAAGACATCCCTCGTACTAAACGTTTGGTTAATACTAAATAAAACTAAAGCACACCCAATACTTCGCGTTTGAGATTTTTTATAGGAGAACAGTCAGAAGTGCTTCACAGAGTCTAGAAGTGACAAAGTCAATTTGAACAAAAATAATCAACTATCTGGCAACACTGCCTGCATCCCCGCCAAATATATAGTGGTTAGATCCCATCGTTTCAGTTGGGCACTCTTCCTATCGTGAATATTCTTAGTATAACTACTGTTTGATGCGTTCCCTACCTGATTCCAAAGGCTCCCAGAGGAATTTACCTAGTGGTGGTTACACATCATTAGACGAATATCATACAGAATCAATAAATATATCATTGTACCATATGTATTTAGGCAAGACAATTCTTGGATAGCTTTTTATATTGAATAAATTAAAGTAGATAAATCGAATTTTCCTAAATGTCGCCTCTGGTAGTACTTTGTGCCCATAATACGAAGTTCTCAATTCTTCAGAAGGACACCCTCGTAGTTTGTGTGAATTTGAGCGATTTTATACATTGCCCGTATTTACACCGCGGAAGGCTAAGCTCAGGGATATGCCACTCTGTACGTTAACAACATTATGTGCAATATAATGCAACACTAGTTTAAATTAGCTGATGCTGCGCTATCTCTTGGAACGATCCGATATAAACACACGGTGCATTATGGTTATGTGGTTAGCTTCCTATCGCAAGAGGTTATAACAATCCTTTTTTTTTTTTGATGAGTATGTCCAAATATGCAATAAAATATTTATCTTTATATACAATACGATGGCTGTAGAAAACGTAAATTTGATGTCATTCTTTTTCTTTTCAGCTGCCTACCACGTCCACTCATTCGACTCCCACCTGCGCGGACCATCGTTCGTCATGGAACCACCCTCTCGTCTGGAATTCTCCAATTCGAGCGGCGGTTGGCTGGACTGTTCGGCCAGTGGCAGTCCACAGCCTCAAGTAGACTGGCTGGGAGCGGACGGCCAACCTGCGGGAGACGTCCCTGGAGTACGAAGGGTGCTGAGGAACGGAACCCTGTACCTGATGCCGTTTCCTGCGCACGCGTATAGGCAGGACGTACACAGCACCATCTACAGGTGTATGGCCAGTAATAGCGTGGGCAGGGTGCTCAGCAGGGACGTGCAGGTTAGAGCTGGTAAGTATTTTTTTCTGCATATAGAGACTAGGACAGATAGAGACTGCAGCATTGGTCGAAGAAGCAAGTTATCTTTTTTATACAGTTTTCGAGGGTTATTTTTTGGATTATTTTTAGACTATTTTGTTCTTCGACGATTTTCAAAATACTGCTTCGTTTCAGATGTGCTGACCCTTAAAAGAACCTCAACGGAAATCATTTTTGCGTTTTTAATAACTTTTAATAACTTTTGAGCAACACTATAGAATCTAACGAAAATAAAACAGCATAACAACTGGTTGAAGTCTGCAAAGAAATGACACTGCTACCTATGAGTAGTCAGCCAAACGCGGTACTACCCCTACCTGGGTGGCAGGAGACTAGTTTATACGCATCTCTAATGGACAGTCCGCATCAGTGGACCAGACCACAAATACTATACTAAGGACTTTTCATGCTACCAGCCTTGACGTACCATGCAGAAGATTCATGTACACCGGTTGGATAGGATCTGTTTGTCTTCCATTTCTGTTACCATAGCCAAGTATAAACAAGAATCGCCACACGAATTGTTGACCCATATTTTGTAAATACCCTATATAATTACTCTTGCAGCCTAAGTACCGTGACCGCTATGGTGAGACTTCAAAGTCTTTGTTGATGTAGTCCCTTCTGCTAGATTCTTTCACTATCTGAATACTTGAAAAATAAAAGAGCTATTGTATCAACCTAATATCGATATCGAAACATTTAGCATGAGACTCATCACAGCCCGCCCTTCTCCCACTTCTCTTCCTGTCACTGCGTATTCGCTGCATGCACCACGACGTCGCCACCTAACGAATGTCGAACAGAAATACTTGTGCTTTTTTTTGTGAGGGGGCGAATGCGTTTATGCACCTTACCATAGCCAGAGCTACGGCGTGTGTGGGACTCCAGGTTGTCTTGAGGAGATCACCTAATACCCACTAAACCCTAACCTCCGCGTGCCCCGACTCATCAGCGTCTCAGTAAGGCCATGTGTTGTGCGTGACCTGCGGTCTGCTACAACGTCTCCTCATGTGTTTCAGTCTCTGGGAGCGCCGGGTTGGTTCCCTTTACCTCGCACAGTTCTATCGATGTCGTTAAGCGAGCATCGATAGAGGGTTTGCTATGTTCTCTTGAAACACATGTTTTCGAAAAATCAAGAGTTTCAAGTCCTCTACTTGTTTGTTACCTGGTCCTGGTGGGTCCTGGTCCTGGTTGGTCCTGGTCCTGATGGGTCCTGGTCCTGATGGGTCCTGGTCCTGGTGGTTCCTGGTCCTGGTGGGTCCTGATCCTGATGGGTTCTGGTCCTGGTCGTCTTGGTCCTCGTCCTCTGCTTCCACGCCGTGGGGGGGAGGGGGGAGAGCAACCGTGAGTACTCCTAGTCAAGGTTCCAGTTAGCGCCTGCCAACTGTGACTTGGGTCTAGGGTACTTGGCTCTGCGGTTGCGAGCCCTCTCGTCCGGATCGTAGTCCATGAGGAGTCGTATCTGCTCGTTCGGGTGGTCCTGAGCTTTCTGGAAGGTCTTCTCTGCTTTTTTCCTCATATACTTGTGATTGGTGTTCCAATGCAGGTCTCTACGCAAGGTTGAGTTTCTTACCTAGGATGGTGCACTGGTGGCGATCCGGAGTAGCTTCATCTCTAGAGCAGCAAGTCGCTTGCGGTAGCTGGGAGCAGCGTACCCCCAGACCGCGGAGGCGTAAGCGAGCTACTTGTGCTTGACTGGTGCAGATATAATTTATACCGAATCATCCGCTTAGGCAGAAGCCTAAGTACCATGAATCCGCGGCTTAAAGAAACTTTGTTAATCCGATTTTTGAGCTGCCTAAGGTTAGTCGAACTGGGAAAGACCTTCTCAGGCAGATTGTTCCAATATCTCTATACCCTAAGAACAAAGGAGCGGCCGTATTGGAGAGTTCTGGATGTACGAATTTCGACACGGTTATGATGGAAAGCCAAAGTTTGGCGGGTCTGTCTGTTAGGCACATCGCGAGGCGGCGTCATGGAGAAGAGCTGTGAGGAGCAAAGAGCTAGGTCATTGTCGGTCCGAACAAGTTCCGTGGCTGTTAGTTAGAGAAGAATCATCGATCAGTCTAACAGCCCACCATTGTAGAGCATCGATCATGGATAATGTAGTCAGGGTGGCAGCACCCCAAACATATGAGGAGTACCGGAGGCTAGGTCTTATCTGTACAGAATGAGGAGGTCGCGATGAGAAAGGTACTTCTTGGCCCTGAACAAATAGCCCAGCTTTTTCCAGGCAGGTGCCGCTATTGTCATAATGTGTTTGTACCAGATCAAGTCCTCGGCGATCTGGACTCCAACCAACCGAAATGAATGGCTCTTTAGCAGCGCTCGGCCATCCATCGAAACCGGATGAGCGCTAGGGTGCTTTGTGTTAGTCAAGGTATGGTGCTGCTTTTTGGAAGCATCAAACTGACCAGACCGTTACGTCCCACACTCTGAATTCCTGCATGTAGAGTACTGTCTTTAGCAAAGCGGTGGATTGGATTTATCATTCAGGAAAAGAGTTCGTGGGTATATAAGAGGAACTTAAATGGATGTCAATGAAAATAACAAGACATTTAGTTGATTTGAAATTCGGAACAGTCTGAATTTCAAACAGACATTTCTCTTTTGAGCTGACAAATGGTGAAAGTGAAATATTTGCACCTGGCCAAGCCTTAGCTGACCCCACATGGTAGAGATTACACCATATTTCAATATGAGCCGAAGATGTACCCCTGTTTGTCCACCGCATGCGCTGCGTTCGATTTCATTCCCCTGCCATGCACTTGGCTCCAGACACAAAAGCAACCACTTGTACATGCTTCAGCTAATATGGTACCTAAAATTAATATCCTTCACCAAAAGGGTATGCGGGCATTCAGGCTACAATTTCTACTATCAGGCTATCCATGCATTATCTACCGACCCGTCAGAGGTAATAACAATCATGTGTCTCATACGGCTGCATCTCCGTCATATCCGAAATATTTAAGTGCTCGACTTGGACCAAAGCCAGATGCGATTACAAAGCAGATGGAAGCATGTGCTGCTACCAGTCGTCCAGCATCCAGGATTTCTGTTAGTTAAAAGCTCGGAACAGACTGGAAATTGTCATGAATAATTACAGTCCCTACTTGACTTTGAGGCTATTATGCAAAAAAACCCATAGAACGTCAAAAAACTACAAAATGTCATCTTGCAGAATACTTAGTTTTTAGGGTGCAAATAGTTCAATCCACGTTTGTTCGCTATGATCGCGGTGAGCGTCCATCTATGGAGGAATGGCTCAATTACACGCATTGTTGGTTGCAGAAAACAATTATATGTTTTGTGAAGCCGAGTAGTCTGTACAGTGTTTATCTTTGAGAGGATATGAAAGAAAGAAAGCTGGTTGAGTAGCAAGATCGCATCTGGATGATTATGTGCGTTGGTCTGCATGTGTATAGAATCACTGATATTAGCTACGAGAGAAAATTAGTACTGAATATGGTCCCAAAGAAATATATCTATTAGCTGTGGCGGACGGGGTATTTTTATGTTGTCCTTTCCTAAGACCGGTTATGTTTAAAGTTATAAATTACATTTTTTCCCTTTTCTGTGTTTGCAAAACAGGAATGACTCATCACACTTCAAACATTTTCATATCTAAGCGCTGTTTTGTATTTTCTTATGACATCGCAAAATAAATTTATATAAAATTGAAATGACTGGAAATAAAAAATAATGTAATAGGCTTGTCACTTTCATAAATATTCATTGTCTGTAGCTTATTTTCTCACTTATTACTTCACCAATCAGGGATTTCTTATCCATCAACTCAGCAAATTTGTTAATTTCGAGAATGAATAAGAAAAATTGGATGAATAATTTCTACCTTTTAATCTCAAGTAAGTGTATTTGAGACAAGAAACCAATGGAATTATCATCAACACGTATTATTAGCACATGAACCTATGCACTGCCGTTTCCTTCCTGCTATAGTATACAACTTACAGCTTAGACCTCCAATAATGCCATCTCATCACATCAGAACCAAGCATTGATGGTCGAAGCATCATGACGGTTAGGCAACAAGTACAACTATTAAACGAGTTTACAACAAGTGTCTATCAGCTAGAGCTAAGTTAACATCCTGTGGAAAACCCTATGATATGTCAAAAATACCAATACGTTAATAAAATAGATAATACCCGCTCGGGTATCACGTATCTTGAAAAGTGACATTATGCCGATTTTTTTTGACATTATGCTGATTTTTTTTTTACATTATGTAGGTTTTTCGCCAAGACGTTGACTTAGCACTTAGTTGTACGTGTTGTCTTGTCCCTGATGTGATGTAAAATCTGCTTCTGAAATGGCATTACTGGAGGTTTAAGCTGTAAGTTGTATGTGTTGATGATAATTACATTGGATTTTTGTCTCAAATACACTTGCTTGAGATTCAAAGCTAGAAATTAGTTGCGCATCCACTTTTTCTTTTTCATTCTGGAAATTACATATACTAATTAGCTGAATTCCAAAAATGAGAGACTTAAGAAATAATTATAGTCACTGTACACTGTTAAATTACAAGCCATATAATACATGCTAACATAAACATAACCTCTCTTCATAAAGCACAACATAAAAATACCCCTTCGGGCACAGCCAATAGATACACTTCATTGGCGGGGTATTCAGTAATGATTTTCTCACACAGCAAATATCACTGATTTCATACACTTGCAGACCAATACACATAATCATCCAGATACGATCTTGCTATTCAACCAACTTTCTTCTCGGAGATAAAAACTACAGACAAGGACCATTTGGCGTCACAAAACATATGCAACCAATAATGCATGTAGTTTAGTTGAGTGATTCCTCCTTAGATGGACGTTCACAGCGATACTAGTGAACAAACGTGGAATGACTGTTTGCGCCCTAAAAACTACCTAGTTTGCAAGATGACACCTTATAGGTTTTTTTGACGTTTTGGAGGTTTTTTACATGATACCCATGCCAGTTTTCAAATGCAGGTTAATGCGATTTTACAGGTAGCTAGTACTAAACCAGCATAATGTCAAAAAAATCGGCATACTGTCACTTTTCAAGATACGTGATACCCGTATCGATCCCAGTGCAATGTCAATTAAATTTCCTTTTGTGAATCGATCAACAAATCGTGTGCTGCTCTGAACCTGTTAAAATATGCTGTGCGAGTGTTGCTTCTATCCATTCGAATGTCCTTTCTGCATTTGGAATCCTGGAATCCCTCACCATTAATACTATGAAGCTGATTGAAAGGAACCAGGCTCATCAGATGTGCCTGTTGCCGGTATTCCTGTTTTATTACATCTGTGTTAACTGCTTGTTGCGTAGTATTGAAACGAAGCTGCTTGAAAAGTGTTGTCCTCCAGTCTGTCTGCTTAGTTCGAACCATACTTCAGATGTACTTATAAACATATAAACAGTTAATAATACTGAAGGTGAAAATGATATCCATAATCCAGAGTCACAAAGAACCACGTGTCGCACCGCCTACTACTGTTCAAGAGACCGATTTTCCAGTGACTCGGAAAAAGAAATATTGTATTACAATGTATACCAATGATGTGGCAGTGCATCCAATCAAAGGAAACTTTATCCCCTTGTTCAACCGAACAGTAATAAAATAGCAGTGAAATGTTTTAACAGTGACAGAGAGTCCAAATTTATTCCCAGTCTGTTAAAAGATATAGCTCGGTGGAAAATAAAGAACAAAGGGATCTGAACGGGGATTTATTCGAGCGGATGAAAATATGAACTGTTTGCAGAGTGGAACGGAGATTCTTTTGTTTCGCTTCTTTTTTCTCAATGGCTCTTTTACGGCGACTGGCACGCAGACGTTAATGGCGTTTTATCGGATTTTTCTTCAAGGTCACAATGGATTTTTGCAAATACTGGTGATGAATAAGATCTGTAGTGGCATGAGGTAGCTTTATAGTAGTAGAATCGCTACTTTTTAACAGTTTTACCATGTGACAGCAGCAGCCGTAGTTTTATGAAGTTGCATAATATATGAGTACCGAGCCCTGATTCTAACGGAATCTTGACTCTGGAAATTAATTTCCATGTTGCCTTACATACAGGGTGGCGCATCGAAAACGAAACAGGCGCATTTACTGGCAGCTCAGATTTTTTGAAAGACGCTCAGACCCGTCGATTTTGTTTTCGAGGGGGACACAAGTTTGACAAAAAATCACGTTAGCACGTGCAGCCCTCTAATGGAAAGGGGGGGGTCGGGGGATACCTTATTGTAAAGGTCTTTCAATTCCCTTTATAATGATATAAAATTAATGTACTTCAGTTCAGTAGTTTTGAAGATTTATTGATTTAAAGCTTAAATAAAACTAATACATCATCATTAGTGGAGATCAATACATTTGGCAGCAAAGTAATTTAATAATGAAGAATGAACTGACCCGTTAGGCAAGTAAATGTTGAAAATGGCCACCATGACTCTCCATGCAATAATAAAGATTTTGCTCAAAACGTTGCCGCACATTTTGCAATACTTGAGGAGTAATTCGAAGGCACTCATTCGCAATTCTTTGTCGCAGGTCTTCTAATGATGTTGGCTGAGTAGCATAGATTTTGCTTTTTAAATGACCACACATAAAGAAATCCAAAGTTGATAAATCTGGCGATCTTGGGGACCATTCAATGGCACCTCTTCTACCAATCCATCGATCTGGAAACGTCTGATCTAAATATTGCCGAACACGTAATGCGTAATGTGGTGGGGCACCATCCTGTTGGATCAACAACCTATTCGCAATGTACCGCCGATCATTCCGATTTTCATTTATGACTGTTAATGCAGGATCAATGGCGTCTTCTAATGATTCCAAATACATTTCAGTGGTCAAATAAATTTCCAGGTAAGAAAAAAGGACCATCTAAATGATCGCCAAACATACTATCCCAAACATTTCATTTTTGTGGCTGCTGTGTATGAACCTCATGATAAATTCTCGGATTAGAATCGGACCAATATCGGCAGTTATGACGATTTACTACGCCATTTGAGAAAAAGGAACATCCGTCGGAAAAGCAAGTGCTGAATAGAAAATGTGCATCGCTTATAATTCGTTCACTCATATCTTCCCAAATTGTAATCGCCGATCAAAATCGTCTTCATTAAGTTCTTGTACCAGGTGAATTTTATACGGATCAAAACTATGGGCTTTTAGGATCCGTTGGACAGTACCTCGACTAACACCACACACAGTCTCCAATTTGCGGGTACTTAACGTAGGATCTACATAAACTTGCCCTAAAACCCCCACTCCTATTGCTTCGTTCCTTATGGGATTTTCAATTTTGCGTTTTTTATTGGCGACTGACCCAGTTTCCCGAAATTTAGCTACAAGTTCTAGATCATATTTTCGATGCACGTTACTGTTCTCATGTCGCTCATTAAATATTTCTGCTGCTCTATTAACGCACTGATTATTTCCGAAAAATATTTCGATAATTTCAGCTCTTTCTGCTGTGGAATATACCATGATTAATTTATGTAATAAAGCGTTACAAGTTATTTTAGCAACAAATCTTGGTCAAATCAATTGCAAACTATGTACTAAATTCCTATTTAAAATAATTACGAGATTTTTCCTTATCTTTCTTCAAGAAATAACTTTTTTGTCATAAAAAACGCTCCAATAGCTATTTTCAACAACAAAATGATTAACAAACCATGGGCGTAGTGAAGAAAAGCATTTACTTATTAAGTAAATTTTTATAGTCAAATTTCTTCTGAAGGTAGTACAAACCTGATGTACCTATTAAAGTCTAGTTTAAGCTTTAAATCAATAAATCTTCAAAATTACTGAACTGAAGCTCATGTATTTTACATCATTATAAAGGGAATTGAAAGACCTTTAAAATAAGGTGTCACTCGACCCCCCTTTCCATTTAAGATTTTAGGGTTAGTGTCACCCCCGCCCAGGGGGCTGCACGTGTTAACGTGATTTTTTGCCAAACTTCTGACCCACTCGAAAACGAAATCGATGGGTCTGAGCGTTTTTAAGAAAAAATTAACTGCCAGTAAATGCGTCTGTTTCGTTTTCGATGCGCCACCCTGTATATGCATTATACAGTAATTTCTCCACTGCTCCGATAGTTTTGAAAAATAAATCACTTAGAGTTAGGAGTCAATATTATAACATTTTATTACATTTGAAGTTGAGTCATTAATTTTCAGATAATGATTGTAGAAGGAAGATAAACCAAAATATGTGTGTAAAAATAAAAAAAAAATAAAAAAAATGTGTTAACTTGTTTTATAAAGTATCCTCCCGACAAGTATTTCAGTGCGGACCTGTATTTGATCGTGAGGTCCCCTGTGAGTTCTTAAGTCACCTGATTCACGAGCCCGTTGTACTACATTAACAATGGCACGAGGGGTTGGTTGCACTCGATTGGGAAACCGATCCGCATAAACATGTGCCATTTTTTATTTCGTTTGAGCCACGCAACAGACACTATTCACACGCGACTGACACTAACTGTATGTATAACTGAACTGAATAAAATAAACATCGTTCCAAATTCTTTCGATTTTTTGTTTCCGATGCGATGAACCGATAAGGTGGATTATATCCGTTGTTGCCAAACACGAGTACATGATATTATTGAGACAGGGCGGTACTCAAACTTCCAAAGGGCTATAACTTTGTTACTTTAATTTTACCAGAAAAATGGTCAAGGAAAAAAACATTTATTTTGATCAGATCTACTCACTGTTAAAATAAATGACTCAACTTCGAAGTATATGACAAGAACATTATATTTAAATTAATTTTAACCGTCGAAGATCAGTTAGAATCAGGCCGCTGCAGAATGGCATATTGCTATAGATTGAACATTGTTGTGTTGTGTAACAAATTATTTTTCAATTATTTTCAAGTCATAAAACGTTTGTTCTGGTTCAAATAGTATTTAAGGGTTCAGAATTTGTGTTTCTTCTATTTCAGTATACGCTTTTAGAAGTTCTTCTATCATAACACTATCAAAATACCCAAATTAATTTCAATGTTGAGGCAGCGTATTTCTGTATTATACAAATATACATCGTGACCTGGTGTTTCGAACGCATATCAAGACTAAAACCAAATGATCATGTTGTTATGCATGAAAGCACAGCGCTGTGGTGCTCCAAATCCGATACGCTCTACAATAACACTCATATTCGAAATGAATTTACATACAAATTGAGAAGTGAATATATTTCGATCAAAACCTATTGTTTTCTTTGACGGGAATGGATTTAGCTGACGCAGGTGATTGAGGATGCGGCAACTTAAAGACGCGATTATTTTAGGATGAGGGGCTATGAAGTGACCTGTAACAACAATACTTGACTTGAAGTTTTTATTTTACTACTTTCTTCGAGGAAATTAGAGGGTTATCAGTTTTGGTTTTCATGTTTATACAAAACACATCATCAGGGGCCTAATTAATAAACTTGACCCCTAGGGATAATAAGGAAGCTTCAAATTGAAATAGTCTATGGTGTTTCACCTAAACTGGATCTCTTACCTACGAGAACAATCCATTTAAGGTTCTTAACTATGGCGACCAATAGGAATCCTTTATACCATGGTTAGGATGTTCTTGGCAATTTCCCGTAATGCTCCTCAAAGTTCTTGAAAACAAAGACACGGGAAAAGAAAGGACAACAAACAAGTAACTCGTCGGGCACAGCTGATATCTATCATCAGTATATCTATACTGTTGTATCTCCAGCTTAGAGATTTCCCAACCTTTCGCAGACACCCTGTATATAACGTGAATCCTGAGAGAAAAAGTCCAGCAGAGCCGTCATCTAGCCAATGAGATTGTCGATGTTTGGAAACTTAATAGTTTATTGCAGTTTGAAGCTTCTAATTTACAGTACTGTTCCTTAGCGAATAAGATGCATCCAGTCCCGCGTCTGGTTACCTTCATCTTTAACCTACTTATGGAAGCCGTGGTACCTGCGTATTTAGATTTCTGCTTTCGTGGATGCATCAGTATACAAACCTGTGGTGGTTTATAAAGTTAATCGTGTTTATGGTAAAGAAGCCAATGTTTATCTTCCTTGTTCTCTTTCAGTGGTGACGCAATCCTACAAAGTTGACGTGGAAGTGATTGGAGCAGCAAGAGGATGCACAGCTGTGCTCAAATGTATAGTGCCAAACTTCGTTAAGGATCTAGTTAGAATAATGTCCTGGGTACAAGAGCCTTCTTTCTACATATATCCCTCACTACAAGGAGGTGAGTACATTATTATTTTATCATTGATGATGCAGTTCAACTTTTAAGGGACATTGTCTGAAGGACCCTTTAAAATAACGGTATTTGTGATAGTAATATTATGGGCTTAAGTCCGGCAGCACATTATCTACCCTGCTAAATTCTTGGTTCAAGTGCAATTTATACGAGGGATGTCTTTTAAGTTTTGCATATGGAAATAAAACAACACGGTAGGTAGTTTTAAATGACTTTATTGGTTTTCGAAGTTTTCTCCATACAGATTAAAACACATGCATGCGCTCGAACCAATTTTCGAAGCACTTATTCCACTCGTTTGCTGGCAGATCCAACACGGCATTTTTGAATGCGTCAACTGCTTCTTCTGGTGACTGGAACCTTTGACCACGCAGTCTGTTTTTAATTTTCGGAAAAGTAAAGAAAACGTTAGGACTTTGATCGGGACTATATGGAGGATGCTCCAATAATTCCACGTTTTCTTCCGTTAAATACTGCCTTGTTTTTTGGGCTGTGTGCGAGCTTGCATTGTCTTGGTGGAGGATGATTCTTCTTTCAGGGTTGACTTTTCGAAGCTCGGTGATGACTTTTGGCAAACAAATGGTAGTATATCAATCCGCAAGTAACAGTTTTTTGCTCATTACGAGAAATTGTTGCAATATGACCCGCTTTTGACACAAATATCGCGACCAAACAGCCGACTGTCGTTTATTTTCTGGTTCATAACAGTAAATCCCCGATTCATCACCACTAATAATGCTGCAACAGGTGGGGTATCCAACGAGAAACTATTTTTTTAACTCCCAATTCTTCATGTCACATTTTTTGAATTGAGGTCTTTGAGATCTTCAAGGACGCCTCAATCTCGCGATATGTCACATGTCTATCTTCAATTATGAGTTTGCGCACAACATCGACGTTTTCCTGGGTGAGTGCCGTTTTTGGTGCACCCACCCTGGGATCGTCGCTAAGACTCACCCGTCCACGTTTGAATTCTCCATGCCGACGGGAAATTGCCGACTGATGTGGCGCTTGGTTGCCCAAATCAGTAACTCGGTAAGGTATTCTTGTTGCAATAATTGTCTCTGAAAGTTGTAATAAATTATGGCGCGAAATTGTTCTCGGTTGAGTTCCATATTTCTAAAGACTTGGTGACTTTTAAAAATTCAGTGTAGTGAGAACACTGCACGTATTGTGGTGAAACTTTGAATTTAGGTTTACTAAAGAGTGAGGTTAAGATTCAGTACTGACGTTCGATCCGCGCGGCCTACCATGTTTCTACATGCAAAACTTAAAAGACATCCCTCATACCTGGCCTTTTTAACATAGAAAGACGTTCCACCAGGTTTTACGTGAGAGCTTTTTTAGCTAGTGACCTTTGAGGCAGGTTAGCAAGGAAGGGACAAAGACCTGACGGAAATCAGTCCCCGGTGAGTCTTGTCCAAACTTTGGAAATAAGCATCCAGATGAAAGGTTCTCATGAACATCCAAAAATGGAGTATTACTCCTACATAAAACTTATGGGTTATTATACATGGTATCTGATGGCACTTTTCCTAAACACTCAGAATTATACGTGGTGTTCCAATTTTACCACACATCAATTTTTTATTACACATTATGATATGCTCTTTTAAAGAAGAAGATTAATATAACCTACTTATGGGTTTTGATTATTAGTTATTGGGGTACTTTATCCAAGAAAATCAAAAAAGTTTGAAAACCTGCATATCGGCTGTCTTGACAGTTTGCAATAGTGGTTAACATTTTGATGGAAATAAAACAGAGGTAGTTAGAGTTTTGCAGATTTAACCACGACCATAACCGTCAAGGTCATGTCAAGGTCAAGTCCCTTCTTTTCGATGAGTGGGATATTCCACACTGAAATATCTATTGACCCATGAGCTTTGCCAATAATACATCTTGACCATGACCTTTAAGGCGACGTCATGGTCAGGTGGACTGTTTTGAATGGGATATATGCTACTGGTCCAATAGTAATTAGTTTTAACCTCACTGATATAGCATTTCAATTCGAATATAGCTTCTTGCTCCAATATTGCTAAAGAGTCCACGAACATGTTTAATCAGAAAGCTCTGGAGACCTTATTTCCAAATTTTGAGCAAGATTTTGTGACTGATTTCCGTAAGGTTTGTGCCCCCTCCTTTGAATCTCATCACTTGAGAAACTGTGGTATATACCTCCCAAAGTATCGGAGCTATGTATTGATGTAAGCTTCGTAAATAAATGTAAATATTTACTAAACGTATTTTCACGCTGCATACTACACGATTGCGCTGACAAGTTTAAAATAGATGTGCAAGCATATTGTGTGATGGTAGTTATTGTCGACAGTTCCTCGTTCATGGAAAGCATAGCGAATGTTGTGGGGCAGACTTCATTATAATATTCTGTTGAATGGAAGAGCTGGCCAATGAACTGTTTGTTATCTTATTGAAATTTGCCGCTTCTAAATATAGAGTGAACGTGAAACAGACTTTCGTGCAACGAAAGCCTTCACATTTATTTTTTACAATTAAACTTCGCCTGGAGGGATGCGTAAGAGTTGGGGAATAGGGGAAGTTTGAATTATTATTTTTTCGGCATCTATCTAACTTACTGATTTATGCTAAACGTATACTAAGTGACATATAAATCCGAACACCCAGTTTAAATGGTTTTATTTTAATAAAATTTTGTATAAGTACTTAATGAAGCATAATAAGTAAATGATAAAAATTTCAAAATGATTGCACTGCTTTAAAGCCCTTTGATCTTTAATAATGTGTGGATGCACCCTGATGTGCTACGCATTCTCCAACACGCCTAGGCATGCTTCTGATCAGGTGGTCAATGTCCTCCTGTGGCATCTCATTCCAGGCAACCACCAACTCATCTCGAAGTGCTTCTAGTGTCTGAGGAGGACGTTGCAAATTGAGCAATCTCCTACACATCATATCCCACACGTGCTCAATTGGGGATAAGTCAGGAGATCTTGGTGGCCATGGTAACAACATCATTATGTTGAAAGAAGTCTATTGTGACTCTTGCAACATGTGGTCGGGCATTATCTTGTTGGAAAGTTGGATCTGCCAGGGTGTCAAGATAGGGTAAAAGATGGGGTTCTAGAACTTCGTGGATATAACGCTGCGCGTTCATGTTACCTCTGATGAAGATTAAAGGTGACCTGGAACCAGAAGCTATAGCACCCCAAACCATAACTCCAACAGTGTGATGAACATGTCTTTCAACAAAAAACTGTGGGAGGACCCAGTGTGGCCGGTATGAAAACTTCTCATTCGTCGGTAAACACTTCGCATGCCAATAGGTCTTCCGTGTTCTGCAAACCATTCATTTGCAATGGACCTGGTAGTGGAGCCATGCCTGACAACACCTAACCACAGTGTCTACACTTCTTTGCACTCTAACTGCAATTGCCCGAAAAGAAAGTCCAGCTTCCCGAAGTCCTACTATACGGCCCCTATCAAACTCACTAAGTTGACGAAATCGTACAGGTCTCCGTACTCTAGGCATCGTAACCGATCGTAAAGGATGTCAAGAGCCAAAATCCGCCAACGTTGATTCTTTACTGCGGCTGAAATATTCATTTTTAGAGCGTTAGTGAATTAAAAAAAAGCAGTATAAAAACCGGAATGTCCAACTGATAAGACTGAAAATTTTTTCACTTATTACTTACAGTAAGATAAATACATTCACCAACTTTTATTAAAATAAAACCATTTAAACTGGGTGTTCGGATTTATATGTCACTTAGTATATGTGCTAAAAGTTTTGGCACAAAATTCATTGGCTTTAATTTTAACAAACACAAAATAATATCAAGTTACCTTTGGAAACAAAAGTTTGTTTACTTACTTTATTTTAAAGTTTTCGCCTTAAGATGTCGTATAAATTAGAAATAGGAAAAAGTATCTGGGTATTTCTCAGCAAATTCCAAAATTCATGTTCTGAGCCATTGGTACTAAGTTGCATGGATTTATCACCAATTTGACATTTTTGTCATATCAATAAGTATCTACACTAATATTTCAAAAGCAAAGCATCTTATAAATTGAATATTACTAAAATATTTGGTGATAAGTATGGATTCATTGCTAAGAAATAAATATGTATATAAGAAAATCTATTTAAACATTATGTCACTTGAAATTAAATCATTTCCTCACCCATTATAAATATCCGATTTGTGGCCACACCATTTGAATGCAGCTGTTATGTTTTTAAAACTTGTTAAGGCTGCTAATAATGCCAACATGGCGTAACAGTGAAAGAGTTGCTGCAAAAAACTATTGGATTTCAATAATTGAAACATTACATTTCTCTGTGTCATTACATCACTGTTTATATTGAAAGGTAAATTATTATACTGTTAGAATGTTTTAATGATTTTTTCCTTGTTTTGGGGAGTCAAATCCATTCACAAAATGCTAAATCAATTTGAAGTTTTGTACTGTTGGTTATGGTGTCGTTTATGCAAATCCGTCATTCCCTCACTATATTAGAAAGTGAGGGAATAATGACACGCTCCACAATCCCGCTCGATTTAAAAAGTATAGCTATCATATTTTTCTCAACAAATCGGGATTTTCGGACAGCTACGGGTGTGTCCTCATCATCAAAACCCAAACTTTGTTTTTAAGCCTTGGTCGGCCAAGTCTCGTCACCTGTGACGATGCTGAGCACATACCGAGAATGCCCATTATCAAATATTTTCAGCATGTTTCAGCACCAAGTCATACGACGAGTCTCCTGCTCTTCCATCATTCTATGCGGTACCCAGAGAGTGCAAAGTTTCCTTACGTCTAAATGGTCATGCAGAATTGAATGGATTGCTGGTGCATGAAGGTATAAGTCTCCTCTATCTATTGGTATGTCACTTTCCAGTCTTCGTCAAGCATTTTTTTCCACAGCAGTAATGTTTTCTTTTGTTACTGGCATTCGCGGCCTTCCTCCCTCCCAGCTTCCTGCAGAGTGAAATTACCCCTTGGAATTCTTCGTACTACCTGAATATAGTCGTACGATGAGGCGATCATTCGCGTAAAGTTATACCGTAAAACTGAACTTAACTCACTACGTGACCACGATTGCCATAGTCAGTACTTTACACTGTCAATACGAATGAAGAACTAAATCAACAGACGTGGTGCTAGCAGCTACTATGCACTCATGGACATGTCTCCACATGCAGTAACATGCAGCCTCCTGCGTCCGTTAGTTAAGTCATAGTGCAAAACTTTTATTTGTACACAACCACCTACTATATTTTGTATAGAATGTTTTTAAAAAGATCCGGATTTTCAATGTTTTTGTGCAAAAATCACTGACAGAATGTTAGTCTGCGAGGATAGTCTTCTGGTAACAAGGCCTGCACTCGTTGTACATGGTAAAGATAAAGCAATTTTTCCCGTAGGATTCTATGGACTATGGTATGCGATAGTCGTACGCGGCTGCCTAATTCCCGAGTGCTGATATCTGCATTGATTTCCACGATATTCAAAATTTGTTCCTCCTGCTCTACAGTAACCTGTCTTCCACGAGTGCGAATGTTCGTGGGCTGAAACACTTCCTGTATCTCACTTGCACAAATGTCCTTCTGTCTGGATGTACCCGTTTGCGAAATCTGTCGCGATCGATGCCGGTTCGATAAGATCGACGCGCTGTTGTCATGTGTTTTAAATATTTAATTT